GCTCTATCAGTTCTGTCCAGTAAGGCTTATCCTTTCCACTATACCCGTGAGAACTGAAGAACCTAGAGAAACCATACGGTGTTTGGTAGAGTCAAACTGGAAACCACTGCAGCTTTCTTTTATATGACTGAGGCGACTGATATGCATAGCAGGAAATAATAGTAGATCCTGGCATCTAGGATCCCTGAAAATATTGAGACCTGGCTTAACAGGCAGAACATTTTAGGGCATTGCATAATGCTAACTAGTCTGTGAACCCAGAACTCATTTCCCACGCTCATTCTTTGCTTGGAAAGTAACTTTCCTAAGTAAGAATTAACTCCAAAAGTATTATTTTGTTACCAAAAACAGTGCAATACACGAATGACATTTTGAAAAGTTTAGGTTTCCTCCAATGGATTGCCCTTGCTGGACCTTTAGGGAAAACAGTTCGGAATAAAAGTAGAAATAAAATTAGTATCGCCGTTGTTATTGTAGTATCTATATATTTTTATCCCAGTTGCCATAGATATTTGGTTTCGCTCTTAGTTTGCTCTTACAATTTCCGAAAGACTTTGATTTCCAATTTTGGCATCAATTACTTAGTATTTATGGAGTTATTTTGTTTCTACCCAGATAAACTCTCAAGTAACGACGACGGAAGAAAAGGATAAAGGAGAGTTATCTTTGTCGCTCAGATACCAAAGAGGTTCCAAGAAGATCTCTGTAATCGTGTTAAAAGCGACAAACCTCAAGAAACCAAAGAAATTTATGACAAATGGTATGCAAGTTTTCTTTGTTTGTTTCTAACTTTATATTGATTATTTTAATTATAAGATAAATGTGCAAATATTTGATCACAATATGTATGTTTTTAAGAGCAACTAATGCGGATTGCTTTGAGATTTTCTTCTATCTATCATAGGCATAGCCACGTTTACACCGGAAAATGGGTTTTTTTACAAAACATTAGTGGTTTTGAAAACAGGAAGTAATACTATTTCCATTTGGAAAACCCATCAATACCTAAACCGTTAATGGATTTTAGTGTGAATTATATCGATGGGTTTGTTCTATGTTACATCCTGGTGATTATAGCGTTGACTATGAATGATAAGAATGGGTTGTATTTATATTACATAATGTTAATTACTGTGAATATTGATGTCAATATTACAATAGAGCCACATCACTGTCAATCAATATTCCGACTGTTTGTAGAAAAAAAATGTTGATGGAAATTGTGTATTATTCTCACATAAATGGTTTTCAATAATTTGAATGGTTTTAATGGGAAATACATTTTGGAAATGGATCATACTAAGCTTATTTTTTTTTCACATTAATGTTATTGAATTCGTAAATGGAATTATCAATATACCATTATAGAAATTACTTTTTCCATTTATGAGTTTTTTATGTCATCATTCCCTGGGGGAGGAATCTGGAGAACACCCACAACCTTTTGTGTGGAGCCGTGCTTTTGTATATAGAGCCAAGCCACAACCGGAAATTACCGATTGTTCCAAGACACAATCAGCCCGATTGTTAAAACCAGTTGAATGACGTCATTCATTTTGTGCGTAAATTGGTAAAAACAACTTTAACCGGCTTTCCTGCCAAAAAGAAACTGGTAGAAACCATCATTGAATGCATCCATAGATATCTTGTATACACTAGATAGTGCATCTAATTATTCTGCAATTCAAAAATTGAAGCCGTGATTGCAGACTCAGGATATTCCCATGAAATGAGAAGACTCGTCTGTTTTCTATTTCTTAAACAGGGAACTTAAACATTAAGTTAAACCTATTCCAAATACATTTTCAAACTATTCAAATGATGAAAGTTATTGTTGTTTTTTAAGCGTTTATTAGCGAGTGGGAAACTTCAACATGGCCGCCATCTATAACCGCTGGAATATTCTTGGTTTCAATTTTACTAAAAGAGATGCGCTATCTAGTCTATATAAGATATCTATGAATGCATCACGTAAATAATTTTATCACAGAAAAATAAAAAATTCGATCCTGCAAAAAGCGCTCTTCTCACATACGACTGAGATGAAATTATAACGAGACAACTGCATATTACTGGAATGAAACCTCAGTCCCAGAGATGAACTGACACGTGCATGCATTAAAACCTATTTCCACTCAGGAAAATTTTCCGCAAAAAGAAAATTCTGTAAAATGTGATAGGCCGACACAAATTTTCCGTCGGAAAAAAATTTTCTTGAAGTTGAAAATTTTCAACTTTTTAACAATGATATTTTCGGAAAATGTTCTATCCGTAGAAATTTTTCTTGAGTGGAAATGGGCCTTTTACCCCTGTGTAACCTAGAAGTGACATATACACGACCTATACTACTATTGCTGCTACAAACACAACCTATATTGAACACAAAATATATTGAACACAACCTATACTACTACTGCTGCTACAAACACAACCGATTAACAATATCCTAAACACTAAAATTTTCCAAATTTCTAGATCCGTACATCACGATCAAACTATTGTACAACGATGAACTAGTGGTGAAGAAGAAAACCAAATCAAAGAAAGGTTCGTCTACTCCGTGTTGGAATGAACCATTTGCTTTCGATCTTGACCAAAACGATCTTACCAAATACATGTTATTATTCACTATGAAATGCAAGGATATATTTTCGTCGGTTACTAAGCTGGGTATGGTCCACATTGGCGCCAAGGCAGAGTCCACAGGGAAGGACCATTGGAATGACAGTGTGTGCAGTAAAAATAACACGATGAGACAAGTTACCATGACACACAAGTTGTCGTGATTTTTGTCATCTGGGGTCGTCGTAGAAGCGATGGTGAGGTGGACTGCTTCAGTTCACTGAGAGGGCTGCCATGAAGAAATCTCAACTATTCTTCGAGAGTTTGAGTTTCCTAGCTGGCAACGCAGCTTACAAAAATGCCATCATGGTATATGGCACTCAAGAATGACTTTGTATAGGAAAACGAGGATGGAAATATGGTCATTGTGGTGGTTTGTGGTTGAAAACAGTTACTGCTGCCTGTGCGGTGAATTATTATGATGAGAGTTAAACGATTTCCAAACTGGCAATAAACGTGGTGTAGAAAAAGTATTCATACTTTCATTAAAAATGAAAACAGGACCGAACTGATGGCCGACCTAACTTGTCACGTAAAGAGATTTCCTGCCTTACCAATTGGAAACAACAGAAAAGACAAGCAAAAAAATATTCAGCAGATTATGATACTTTATAATTTATTATAACTATAGGAGAATGTAGATAGCTAGAGATTATATTGGAAATTTATTTTAATCATATAAATTATTTGTTATTGTAAATAGAAATTTATATAATCATCCTAACGCAAAAAATTTGAAATCTATAATAAAAATAAAGTTTTAAATTATATGAATGAATTTTGACTATATTTCTGTCTTATTTGTCCAAATACGTTTACAAAATTTTGAAAAACAAATCATTGTTTAAACCACTTTCCCGGGCTTTATAAACAACTGGGAGCAGCAGAAAAATAGCCTTTTTGGCTTATACGCAAATTCGCATGGCTCCATTGTTCACTGACGAGAATGCGTCCGGTTTCGTGCCTCTTGCGTGTGAAGGCAAAGAAGAAATCGCACAAATGTGAGTGCAGCCCCAAGTTCTTCCAGTCCTGCAAGTCTGAACGAAGTCTTGTTGTAGTTTATATTTTACAGGTAGCGCGCGTCCAAGGTTTAAATTATTCATGAATATAAAAACGCGAGCTGTTTGCATGCAACAACTGTCGAATGATGTTGCCTTAAAACTACAGTACATATCATTTTGTGAAAATGTTTTGGCTTCAAAGACTATTCTTGTACTGTCTTTGTATGTGTAGTGTCTTTTACAGACTCGCAAGCAGCCAAGGTTTTAACAGTTTTCTGAACAAAGATATAGACGCTAACGAAACTTGTGGCAATCCAGCAGAAATCTACTTCAGGACCCAAGAAGGTGTTTTACATCCAAGACTTAGAACCATGCTCGTGTGCAATGCAACAGATCCAGAGAAATCTCACCCCCCGAGATATATGATTGATGATGACTTGGTCACGTTCTGGCAGTCAAAAGCTAGCATTGATAGAGCGGATATACGTATTGATTTAAATCAGGTTGGTTTGCATGATACCGGGGGAGAAATTTTATTTATACTGGATAGCTTGTATCAGTTCTAACCTGTTCTCCCTAGAGGAGCTATTAGAGTTATCATCTCTTGTTGATCTATAGTGTTACTGCAAAAGGAAACCTACACTAAACTAATCTTATACTGGTTAGGTCTATCAGTACTACTGTTCTTCCTGGAGGTCCGGTAAGGATCCTCCTTTATTCATCCAGGATTATAGCCTACTACAGGAAGAAACGGAATAATAATTTCCATTCTACAAAAACCCATCAACATTTAATTCCATCGAGTACCCATTCCATCGAGTACCCATTTGCATTATAGACTAAATTTTGATCTAAACAAAAATTTCATCACAGCTTGAAAGAGCATCACAAAATTAGTAATATTCCAAAGTTTCGTTGCGA